AAATGTTAACCATAGACTGAAGTCCCAGGAGAGCAAGGGGGGAAAAGAATTCAAATGAAAGTACTGCAAAGAATTCAAAAGGAAGGAAAAATTCCTAGGCACCCAGAGAGCCAAGCTTGAAGCTAGGGGCTTTAGCATGTTCTGCTGACAAATGCTTCCAACTGTCTAGTACCCTCATGAGCTGGTGAGGCTCTGGGAGATTACACAGTATGACCACTCCCATGCTAGTCAAGGCAGAGAGGTGGCTTTTGAACCCTGGTAGTGTGCTTCGAAGCCCTCCAAGTCCCCCCAAAACGTTTCAAGAGAATAATCCCCATCTCTCTGAGAGAGGGTGGGGATGTGCTTTCTTAAAGACAAAATGATGGATGTGATGACCTCCCAAGGTCACTTCCAACCTCTAAGTGCTATTCTTTTGATACTAACAACTGCTGCCACCAAGTGCTCTGAGTTAAGCCTAGGCCTGTGACTAACTTCCAACAAAAAGTGGGGCGGAGAGAGAGCCAGGATTGCTCAAAGACCACTGAAAGAGGATCTCACTTCTCTCCCTTTTTAACCATCTGTGGGGTTTTTTTCTTCGTCTTCCTTTTGCCCCTCCTTTCTGCGTGTGTTGCATAGAAACAGAAAGTGCCTTTGTACCAATTACTAGGCACTAATTTACGCTCTTCAGTGGGCGCTGGGCTTGCTGGAGAAACATTAGGAAAAGGTGGGAGGGTCGGATGTGGGGGAGGATTCTAGCAGTGGAGGAAGGAATGGCATGCTACAAGCTTTTTCTCCAAGCCTGAGAACAGCCAAGGGGAAAGAGAGAGAGAAAAAAAAAAAAAAAAAGAACACGGAAGATTTGGAAGTCAAGACTAACAAATGCGACAAAGCTTTTTTTTTTTTTTTTAAATGAAGAATGGTAATGATCATAAGTCATTCAGAAATCAAACTGATGGGATAGAAAGCAGGCTCCAACTAGAGCATGTCAGATTGTTTTAGGGGCTTCTGAAAGAGTGAAGACCGGGAAATCATCCGCCCACTTTTCTTCTCAATGAACTTATTAAGGAAAACCATTGTCAGTCATTTTCCCAATATGTCATATGATGTTTCTCCCTGGGAAGTTCAATCTGGGAATTTCCCACAGATGTTGCAGAATGACTAGTCCTTGGGATAAGCGTCAACAATTGAGACAGGAATGTAAATCTGACCCTCATGTTCAGAATCCAAGAATTCATTTCCCTCAGCTTACATCTTTGTGTCTGAAGGTAATGGGGTGTCACCATTCAAGCGGCACTGTATTTACTCTGGTATCTCCCTCTGTCACGCAGGAACCCACTTATATCCTTGCCCTCTCTCTTCTTACCACCCACAGAAGATGTGAGAGGAAAATCAAGGGAAACAGTGTGCGTACTCTGTAATCTGACCCCACTTGTGTTTTCTATTGTGAAACAGTAATCTTGCCAGCAGAAGATTCTCAGAGGCTCCCTGACTTTGTTTTTGCTAGGGCAGATAGATGGAGGATGACACAGGACACGCAGGAAATGAGGGAAGAAAGGCAACCGGTGGCTCCTACCTTGCCACTAGCAATAAGAACTGTAGGGTCCTGACAGCCTACAGCCCCAGGGTCAGATTTCTGCAGAAAGCTCGGGCTGAAGAATATATTCAAGGGAGTTTTAGCCTCTTGTCTAAAACCCAGAAGCAAACCCTATAGCAAACCCTTGCAGCCTTAGAAACCCATCTTCTATAGCTAGACGCTATGTGTATGCAGCCTTTTGCATAGCTTGTTACTCTTACCTAACAGGATACTTGATATCACTCCTATTGCTGAGTGGGGTGGGGCAGTATCATCTCCCAGGGGGCAAAAATTGGTTCTGTGACAGGTGAAAAAAGTCTTAGCTATTACAACGATTTGTCGCTTTCAGAAAGGGGCATAGTCCATAAACAGCTCAAGTGTATCTGTGGAATTAAAATGTAATGGGGGAGGCCAGGCACAGTGGCTCACGCCTGTAAGCCCAGAACTTTGGGAGGCCGAGGTGAGCAGATCACTTGAAGTCAGGAGTTCGAGACTAGCCTGGCCAACATGGTGAAACCCTGTCTCTACTAAAAATGCAAAAAATTAGTCGGGTGTGGTGGCACACACCCATAATCCCAGTTACTCTGGAGGCTGAGGCAGGAGAATCAGTAATGGAGGGGTCAATTATGGGAAAAGGGTAGAGAAACGGTTACCTGTGCAAGCCCCACTCAGGCCTAGTTGTAAATCTATGTTGGATGAAGCAAGTTGGGTTATGAAATGCCATTCCACATCACTTTGGGGAGCCCTCTGGAAAGAAAAATGGGGTAGAGATAATGTGTCCCTAAGGATCCAGGCACAGGGCTTCCATTCTACTAACGAAGAGAAGAAATGGCGGTAAGGGCTGGGCAGGGCCTACTTAATGGGCGGCCAAGCAAGCTAAGGCTCCCTAGTCTAGGGCAAAGCCTTGCCCTGTCTCTAAGGCCCCACCTCCCAGGCAATGAAGGTGAGTTTTTCCTCATACCTCTGATGACATCAGACTCTCCTTGACCAAACAGTTGACTCCAAAGCCTTTTACAGTAATTAAGGGAGAAGAGTGCAAGAAGCTCAGGGCAACCTCATGCCTTTAAGCAAATTCCCACCTAAGTTAGAGTTAGCCAGTGATGAACATTCCTAGAGGGGCCAAAAAAATCTGTTTTCCATATTGGAGGACAACTTCTACTAACAGAGGCTGTCCAGGTCCCTCACACCAAGTATGCCAAGGATCCCAAGAATGTGTTCGAAGAGGCTAAGGAGAAGCACAAGCCGCCACTCGGGGCTTTTGTAGCTCCCATCTCTCCTGGTTTTTTATATGAGCCTCTTTTTGCACTATATATATATATACACACACACACACACACACACACGGAATATATATACACAAAAATATTTTTTCATAGAACTCGGGTGTGATGTTGGAATTTGGGGTTTTCTCATCTTCAGAATCCTATAATCAGTGTTATCAAACTCAACCCATTGTCAACACTTGGCGATAGCTGACTTAAGTCCCTCCAAAAAGAGAATAAGATGGCACCTGGCATAGAAACAAGGCCTAAGGTTTCTATCATCCGGATATCAACCCAGCATGATTCAACATCAGCCTGTTCTGATGACTTCTGAGCTGGAATTAGAATGTAGTCGTTTCCTTCTCCAAATGATAACACTGCCTTTACCACCCACCCCCCAAAATCTGCCCATACTCTATGTGAAGGGTATGCGCAAAGTCAGGAGACTTAGGATAAACTTCATGTTAATTACATTTTCAAATAATATGCTTGATATATTTTCACATAAAATACTCCAATAGTTCTAAAATTAATCTGAAACAGTACAAATACATCATAAAGTGTCCAAAAAGTCTAGAAACAGGAAAAACAGTATATTTGTTGCATCTTTTTTTCTTTAGATTAACAATGGATCCACTGCTTAAACTTTAGAGGTATGTCACCGGAAAAGATCTGGTCTGGTTGAAGAAAAACAAACTGAACACACTATTCGAAAATGTAAATTAACATACTGCTTAAAAATAAGTTTATCTGCCGGGCGTAGTGGCTCACACCCATAATCCCAGCACTTTGGGAGGCTGAGGCGGGCGGATCACAAGATCAGGAGATTGAGACCTTCCTGGCTAACACGGTGAAACCCCGTCTCTATTAAAAATATAAAAAAATTAGCCGGGCGTGGTGGCGGGCGCCTGTAGTCCCAGCTACTCAGGAGGCTGAGGCAGGAGAATGGCGTAACCCGGGAGGCAGAGCTTGCAGTGAGCCAAGATCCCACGGCTGCACTCCAGCCTGGGCAACAGGGCGACGCTCCGTCTCAAAAAGAAAACAACAACAACAAAAAAAAACAAGTTTATCCAGTGTTTCCTGATGTTTGAGGTGAAGTTCTGTATATTATACACAAACTACAGGACCCAGCATTTCTCAAGGGGCTACTGTGTGTGGAACCCTACTAGGTGCTTTACAGATGTTATCTTTGCACAAGAACCTGTGACTTGAGGACAGTAGCCCTATCTTGTGGATTAAGAAAGTGAGGCTTAAACAAAGCAGAGGTTGCAAACTTAAAGGCTAAAAGACATCATGTAAATTATTAAAATACGAGGTACTGCCCCCATATCATGATCAGTTCAAGCCAATTGTTGCTAGGCTGGAATTCAGGCCCAGTTTTGCCAGATCTTTTGATTTTTCCAGATAAGTCAGAAATCTGGACTCATGCCATAATCCTCTGATTTTTAGATGTTGGTAACTAATTAAATTTTTATAAACCCTGTGTTGGCCAAGCCAAACAAATCTGCAAAGCAAATTCAGCAGCAAGCCTCCAGTTTGCAAACTCTGAATTAAAGTAACTTGCTTATGGTCTCAAACGAGAACACAATAGGACAAATCAGAACCCAGCTCAGTCGGCTTCAACTGTGTCTTTCCTCCCAGCACACTACAGAAGTAGCAGCACTGAATTAGAAGAAAATCTGTTTGAATGATTCAACTTCTAAAGCTGGTGTAGAAGTGGTCTATGGAAGTGGCAGCTGTATGTGTCTCTATAAGGAAGTGAGCAAGCTGGAGGGTTTCTTACAGGAACGTTAGCAGCACTGAACAAGGGGGTGTGGCAGGGAGTTCAGCTCTTAAAATCTTCACAGAATGCAGACATTCCAAATGCCATCTCTGCCCACCTTCTTGATTTAACACCAGCAGAAAGAAAATTAGGAAAGCTCCTTACCCTACCCTAAAGTCAATTTAAATTGAAGTTGTATCTGAAACTTCCAAATGCATGAGACCTCCAAGTCTCTTATTTAAAGTAACCTTAACACATACCTCCTCTAGCAGGAAGACACTTCTGACAATATTAACCCAGGCTGAGGTTTTGTTCAACCATTCACTAAGATTAGAGATCCCCAAAACATAGACACCTGCAAATCACCATATCCCCTAGGTTCAAAGGACTGTAGCACTTAAAGCTGAATGAACATCTCACTTCGTTTTCCACTCCTGACTGGGAAAAAGGTTCTCCTGAAACAGCTGAGCCGAACGACTTGCCTTATGGAGAATTAAGGAGCAGCACGCATGCACGCACACATAAGCAGCCATTTCTATAAATGCCTGAGAAAAATCACTCAGCCGAATGGCCCAGAACGCTGGAAACCCTATTCCTGAGTCGGACAGACTCTGGCAGCTCACAGAGGCACTGCAGGCCTCCCTGGCTGCACGACTGGGCAGCGCCCTGAAGGAGAAAATGTCTTTGCTCAAGGTGGCAGTGGGTGCCGATGGGAACAACCGAACTCGGGGAACATGGCTGACACAGCCAGGCCCGCCCAGCAGCTGTTGGTGAGTAACATCCTCCAGTTAATACACCCCTACTTCACCCCCAGAGCCACACTAAAGGTCACATCCCCCAACACAGGCACATGCCTTTCAGCAACCTTACAGACACAAACCTTAAAACGTGCTGCTTTATGGCAACCTAGATGATGACCCCAAACAGAACCTGATTTTGCATTAACCATGGAGGAAATTCAGTCTGATTCCGGTGCCAGCAGCCACCTCCACAAGAAGAAGTTTCCAAAGGAAATGGAATGAGAAGCAGTTACGTGACCTTTCTTTTAAAAAGGAAAGCAAAACAAAACAAAAAACCCCAATCAAGTATCATTTTTTTTTTCCGTGTATCATTTTTAAACCACAGGCCCAAGACCTCATCTTAAAAGTATCGAAGTATTACACCAAAAAATGACAACACTTTTCCAACTAACTCCAACAATACCCCCTCAAACACGGTGTCACAGGACAGAAGCAAAAGGCTTATCTGAGAGGACCAAGCCCCGCTACCTCGTCTGAATAGCGTTTGTGAGAGAAGCGTTCGGAAGATGGTCAGACAGCATATCCAAATGTGAATGCTTTCCAACTTTCACCGTGCATGTTAGACACAACCAAGAGAACTGGATGACCCAGGTCCCTGCAAGTCTCCAACGCCCATTTTAAAAGGCAGATAGATGTCTTTCTGGCCACATTCTTGTCCGGCCCTTCCTCTCATCCTCCCTGGGAGGAACTATTCCCTGAGGCCTCCAGAACCGCCCAGCATTCATTACCAAGGTTGACCTCCGGCAAGGACCACACCTCCCTGCAAACCGCCTGATTCAGGGGTGGAGGGTGCGACCTAAGTCACATGGCCAAAAAAAAAAAAAAAAAAAAAAAAAAAACTCAGCTCTGAAATCTGGCTCATTAGGAAGGCTAATGAGTGAAGTTAACCACCATTACTTGATCAAACTCCTCTGCTGCCTGAAGCAGGGTTATTTTAAACCTCTCGGGGGACTCCTGGCCAAATTTAAAACCACCTTGGCAAGCCCAGAAAAGTAGCAGGCATCCAGCTAAATGAGTCCTTAGTCATCCCTAAAAGGCTCGAAGTAAAGTGCGCCGCGTCCCCCCTCGGTTTCAACCACTTCTCTGCAACCCGACAAGGGAATTAAATAAAAGATACGCCATCTGACTTCCCCGCTGCCAGCGTCTTTCCCAGGTGGGGTGGCCCCACCGTCGCGGGGTGCGGGAGTCCCGGGGGCGGGGCGGGACAGGGGAGGGGCGGACACCACTCCCCGCGAAGCCACGCACCGCACTCGCTCTGCCCGCCAGTTTAAGGCTCTCCGTGGCTCCCGAAGGCCGGGGACAATTAAGGAGAGAGTGAGCTTTCCGTCAATGCACATTTAAATTATTTAAAGAGTTAAACCGCATCTTATCCAACATGTTTGCACCCTTTCGGCCGAGTGCAGTGTCCCGAACGCCCAGGAACACTGCCTGGCCAAAGGTTAACTAACCCCAGAGCTCCGGGGGAGAGGGCGACGCCGCTAACCTGTATGCACTCTGTAATGGGCTTTGAGATGGGAGGATTTTCCATAGACTTTCCCACAGCCACTGTAGGGGCACTTGTGCCTCTTTTCGGAGGCGTGTTTCCCCTTCGCAGCCACTCCAGGGTGGAGGAGGGAGAGCGGGCTGGGCGCGCTGCCAGGATCCTGTCTCTCCTCCGGGCTGTGGGAAGGACTCGACCCAGATTCGGTGGTCACGTCGCTGTCGGATCCCATATCCTCATCTGGACTCTCCAGACTGTCGCTGCACACGGAGGGGGTCTGGATGGGTCGGTACTTGTTCAGGTCCAACAAGCTCTTGGCGATGGTGACCAGCGTGCAGTAATCCTTCCAGGTGTCCCCCGGGTCACCGTGCTCCTTGGTCACCTCGCGCTCAGGTAGTCGCAGCCGGTCGGCGTCCGGAGCGCCCCCATGCTCCGGCACCGCAGCGCGGTTCGAAATGGAAACCAGACACTGGGCAGCCACGAAGTCCATGTAGGCGGCCGCGGACATGGTGCGGGCGACGGCAGCCCAGGCGGCGCGGCCAAACTTGGCGGTGGCTGCGGAGGTTCGGCTCGCCCTGCCCTGGCCTCGGACGACGAGCGCGGCGCGGCGCGGCACGGCGCGGCGGCCAAGGGGGCGGAGGCGCGGGGCGCTTCCGACTCGCAGGAGCGCCGAGGCGACCTCAGCCCCTCATCTTTACGTAACCGGCAGCGCCTCCGCACGCAGCATCCACGGCCCCGGGCTCCGCCGCGCCGCCGCCTCTAGCCGCCGCCCCTGCCCCGCGCGGGCCGCGATCCCCCGACGGGCGCGCCGGCCCCTCTGAGCCGGCTCCCTTGGAAAGATGCCACACGTGGCGGTCGCAAGTTTATTCGACTGAAAACGCCCCCGAGGCGCTGGGAGAGGAAACTGCAAGAGAGGTGCACGCCCTCGGCCGCCTCTCCGTCGAGCCAAAGCCCCAGGACATTCACCCGATCACCCCGACGCGGGTGGCGAGGGCCCCGCCGAGCGCCAGGTCTAAGAGACACTTTTTCCCCAGTCCACTGACGGCTTCTGAGCCCCTGCTCCGGCCGGTCCGCACCGTTCCGGCATTCTCTTGCTCAGTAACAATTTCGCAGAATCCCATCACGTCACAAACCAAACCCCCTCCAATTGGCCAGTGGGGAGGGTGATTCAACTCTGTTTACTTTCTCCCCCTGCCAGTCAGAACGGCCTTTCAGTGGAGAGGTGCGTCTAGAACTGAGGCGTGCGGCCAATCCGACTGTTCCGTTTCACTGCCTCGTGCTACCCCTACAGCCTCGAACACTGACATTTAAAAGGGTAACAGCTGGGAGGCAGGGAAGGAGCAGCCGCACACTTTCGGAGTGCCTCGCGGTCCCGTGGTCGGTCCGGGCCTCCTGGCTCACGTTCCAGCTTGCGGAGCTCTGGGACACATCTTCCCTAGTCAGTTGCGCTCGTTCCTATGGCAAAAGAGAACTTCAGCTTCGGTTTTCCAGCTCCCAAACAGTTAAGTGACTTCCTGCAAACGCTACAGTCCCAGCAACCAGCCTTCCAATCAAAAGTAAGTTGGTTGATGTCACTGGCATTGGCTCGGCCAATCAGAAGGGCGTTCCGAAAGCAAGCGCTCGATACTTGTAAACGCGAAGAGCTGTAGTGAAACTGGACACATCTTTGTATTTTGTGTTGCTGGTAGTAAATTTGAGTTATGGATGAGAGGACAGGGGCGATGAATAAACGCAGTATGAGTCTATAATTTTAAAAACCCCATTATGTCAGGATAAGTCCAAGAATAAACACAAATGAGTAAGAATTCGTTTCGTTATATATTTTTTTGGATGCAGCGTACTTTGGGGGCAGATGTTTAAAAATTCTTCCATCCAATACATTAACTATGACCAATTCATCTTAAAAAAGCAGTGCTAACAAAAGTTCTGGTTTTACAGCATAGCCTTTTTACTCCCTGAAATTCTTCCACTGAAACATCCCATCTTTGCTTGTCCTATCTCTTAATTCCTCTACTTCTCCGGTGCAGTTTAGTCTAAATAAATTCTTTTTGCTTTATTTGGAAGCTATTTTTAACCCACTTTCAGATAAATGGAGACAAAAACCATTAACTTGTGTAACTTTTAATAAAAACCCACCATTCTTAGCTCTTTTTCTTTCCAGAGCCCCTGCTTGGTTTTTAGGACATGTTTCTCTTCCCTCACTTCACAAATGTGGAGACTGAGATACAGAAAAGTGACTTATTTATCTTATTAGACAGATAATGACAGAACTCAATAGAAACCACGAGTCTCCTGATTTCTAGCTCTTTGTGATTGCAACTAAGCCCTTTTGGTTTTGTGAAATATTAACTGTGCGGAACAGATTTTTAGGGACTGGAACAAGTCGGAGATCCTTAGCCATGAAATATTGTGGCATTACTTGGTCAGCAATTAGTATGGGTCTTGGAGTCTGATTAACTTGGTTTACCCCTCCTCTGAATTAATGATGTGGTTGTTTTCCATCTTGATAGCTAGGAAAGAATATAGGGCTAGTTTTTTTTTTTTTTTTTTTTTTTGAGACTTGAGTCTCACTCTGTCGCCCAGACTGGAGTGCAGTAGCAAGATCTTGGCTCACTGCAAGCTCTGCCTCCCGGGTTCAGGCCATTCTCCTGCCTCAGCCTCCCGAGTAGCTGGGACTACAGGCTCCCGCCACGATGCCCGGCTAACTTTTTTTTTGTATTTTTAGTAGAGATGGGGTTTCACCATGTTAGCCAGGAAGGTCTCGATCTCCTGACCTCGTGATCCGCGCACCTCGGCCTCCCAAAGTGCTGAGATTACAGGCGTGAGCCACCGCGACCGGCCTCTAGGACTAGTTCTTTTTGCAAGAGGCATACTGTCAGCACAACTGATTAAAAATAATTCACTTTCGTGAATGTGAGAGGTACCTGATTCTGTGTGATGCGGATTCAGTGAGTTCCCACCCTGACCTCCACTTATTAACCTTTGTTAAGAGAAAGTTACACCAGGTTCTGGTCTCTAAGGGAAGGGTCTCAAATTGACTCTACCAGTTTGATGTCTACAGTAGTTTCTTTTGACTTTGTTTTTAAAGTGGTACATCAAAAAAAAAAAAAAGAAAAGAAAATTAAAAAAGAAAGTTAGCCAGGCGTGGTGGCTCGCACCTGTAGTCCCAGCTACTCAGGAGGCTGAGGCTGAAGGACTGCATCAGCCTAGGTCAAGGCTGCAGTGATCCCTGATCACACCACTGTAGTCCAGCCTGGGCAGCAGAGCAAGGCCCTGTTTTTCTTAAAAAATAAATAAATAAATAAAAATTAAAAAAATAATAATAATGATAATTAAGGGTGGTTCAGGTAAGTAAGAGTATAATACATTCTAATTAAAAAAAAGCAAAAAACCTGATGAGACCAGTTCAATAAAAGTGCACACCTTAAAACAAATAAAGAAAACAACAAAAAAATATTAAAGTGGTACAGGGAAGATATTGCAGTAGGTGACTGCAGGTGGAAGAAAGGTATAGATGGGGAATACTGGGCAACCAAGAATATCATCACCATCAGCATCATTATCACTGACCCCTTTCGTGGAGGGCTTACTATGTGTCAGGCCCTGTACCAAGCACCTTGCATGCACCCTTACAACAGCCCTGTAAGGTAGCTATACAGTGTATAAAAAACTCCAAGCCATCTTGGAGTTCTTGCATTTTTAGAACTTAATCTCTTAATTTTAGAAAAGAATGCACTGAAGCCCAGGGGAGTTTGCCTACTTCATGATTTTTCTGGGACAAATTTTGTCCCGTAGGATACACGATCGCTTAGAAATTGCACCTTTGCCTGCCTCCTTAAGGCCCAGTGCACATAACAGCGGGATCTCTCCAGGATCCCTATGATCATGGCCTGTACAACCCCTCAGACTGGCATTTTAACTGGGATTGTACTGGTGAAACAGACTGCTCAGACCTGGACATCTATAGATAGCCCTAGGACCACCATCATCATTATTCCAGAATAGAGGAAAAGTCTGTATCTTTCCTTGAAGATTATATAATCCAGGAATTTGAATACATCAATCACTTTAGGTTTTTTAAAAATATAAACTTTTCCTTTCCTTACTCCTTGCCAGCTTTTCTTTAATTCACTTTACTTTCACTTTGTTTGAACTGGACATAAACACTGAATTCTCCAAACTCACTCATTTCAGAATTATAAAAGAAAGTAATAAAAGAAAACTGAGATTTCATCCACATGAATTTCTCACACATTTACAAACATAACTGCTGCTTGACTTGATTTAGAATTATCTTTTTAAACCCAGCAATTCTAGAACTGTAGAATGCTTTCTCTTTTTTCTCCTTTTCCACTCATTCATTCTCCAGTATTTATGTTCCTGGCAATGAGCTGGGCATGCGGGAATACAGAAATGAAAAGAGACTCTGTCCTCCATGAAGTTTATATGTTAAAAACATATATATAAAATAACGTATCAGCAAATAATAATTTCTATGTCAGGATTTTTTTTCTTGTATTTTCAACAGTGAAGTTTCCTTGAGGGTGTTGGAACGTGTTTTATAATAGTTTTACGATTAAAACCCAGCTTGGGCTGTTTTGCCAGCATGTGGTTGTCCCAATTAAATGTTGGCAAAATAAACGATCCCAAATTAATATGAATCATTCCCAATTAAAATAATATATCACTGAAGTATATATTATGCCACATAGATGTAAGAGCTCTGTTTTCCCCCAAGTTAGTCTTTATAAATACACATTTTCAAATCCACACAAACCAACCGGAAGGAGCATGAAAATTCAGACTGTAAGTGTGCTTCTAGTTTATGCTTTCCTCTCTAAATTCTGCCTAACAATTTGCTTTACTATCCAAGTTCTCAAAACAATGGCTTATGTGCCTGTAGCCAGAATATATAAGCCTTGTTTTCTGTGCATCCTAAAATAATTACAGTATTATCATTATTAGCTCTAATAAGCAGTAGTGCCTACAGTCAGCTGTTTCTTTCAGGGTTGTAGACCACTGTGAGGAACTGGCCTCTGGGTCTGAGATAAACTCTGTAACCTCAGGCAACCTCTAGGAGCTATTTCCTTATCTGTAAATCGATGGGATTAGATTAATACATCTCCAGTAGTTCCTCCCAAACTCCAAACACCTCAAGGAATCTAAAGAAAAAAAAAAACCTAGAGAAAAAAACTGGAGCAAGACTTGGGTTCTTTAAATACCATCTCATCTGCTGTACATCTAGAAATACTGCTCTTTATGGCAGTGAAGGTCAGAAAACCTTAAATCAACATTTAATGGATAGCAGACACAAATATAAATGTTCAAAATCCCTTCCTTAATTTTATGGTCTCGATTTTTCTTTCTTCAAGCTGGTTCGTAGAAAGTGGAATGGAGGTTCAAATAACCTATTCTTTTTCCCTGGCAAATTTTATTATTTATTTATTTATTTATTTTTGAGAGACAGTCTCGCTCTGTCGTCCAGGCTGGTGTGCAATGGCACAATCTCGGCTCACTGCAACAAACCCCGCCTCCCGGGTTCAAGCGATTCTCCTGCCTCAGCCTCCCCAGTAACTGGGATTACAGGCATGCACCACAATGCCCGGCTAATTTTTGTATTTTTGGTAGAGATGGGATTTCGCCATGTTGGCCAGGCCGGTCTCGAACTCCTGACCTCAGGTGATCCGCCCGCCTCGGCCGCCCAAAGCGCTGGAATTACAGGCGTGAGCCACCGCGCCTGGCCCAAGGTAAATTTTTCACCCTAGAGGGGAGTAAGGTATTTCCTGGCATATGCATCACAGATTCCCAGGCCCCTCCCCTGGAGATTTTTATTCAAACTGTGCCCCAAGGCAGGGTTTCCCCACCTTGCAGGGTGGAGCTAATCACCTGGCGCTCGATTTAAAATACAGATTGCCGGGTGTCACCCCTGCTCAAGGACCAGGGAAGTTCAGGCTAAAATCACACTCTGTAGGTATTGGGTTCTGCCAATTCTGGCTTTTCTCACTCATTCCTGCTGGGAAGCGTGGACCGTGCCGGGCAGAACTGCCAGCCTCCAGGCGGGAAGGAAGGAGGAGAACAGATGGCCCACTGGGGGTAGAGGATCACGTGTTGGACCTCATTCTGGGCTTGATCCAGACCTCTCCCTTTCAGGGCCCAGCCCCTCCGGCTCCAGCGACCCCACCTAGGCACACGGAACATATGTGGAGGAAACCAGTGTTCATTTTGGTGAAAGAAGGGGAATTAGGGAAGCAGACGAGCTTGAGGAGGGGAGAGGCGGGGCTAAAGGGATAAGGCTTCCAACAATGGCGATGTTCCTGGATTTTGAAATACAATCAGGTAAAGCCCGATCTGGTGGAACGCCCGTGGCCATAATGACAGTTAACACCCCAGGGGCTAGAGGGGGAAGGGAGCTCAGGCAAGCGCGAAAACTTGTACGCCGCCCTACTTTGCTCCTGCCCCACTTAGCAGCCTTCCGCAAAACTCCAGCCCTCCTCTGCAGCGCAGAAAGGCCGCCCGTTCATGCATATGCAGGAGGATAAGTTTAGCTCGCAGCCCCCCGCGCTCCGACCGGCCCAGCGCGGCAGTCGGTGAATCACCCGCGCTCGGGGGCGGGCGCTCCGCTCCGGCCGCGGACTGGCGGGCGACTCAGCCACTCGCGGACCGCGCGGCCCGGCCTGGCATCGCCCTTTTAAAAAGTCTTCCGCAGGCGGCCGCCGCCGCAGCAGCCTGAGGAGGCGAGTTCATCTGAGGACAGTCCCAGTTCTCAGAAATCCCTTCCCTGCTGGAACATCAAGCTCCCTTTACTGCAGTTGAACAAACTGCCCTAGATTGGGGGACAAGGAACCCGCCCCAAACTCGTGCAAGGAGCTCCGGGCGCCCACGCCCACGTGAGCTAACCTTGAAATTAGCCCCTGCACCCGGGAGCGCGGGGCTGGGAGTGGGTGGGGACCCGGGGGGAGCCCCGTGCGGCCCGGGCCCTTGCTTTGCGCTCTCCGCGTGCACGTACCGCCCCCGCCACTCTGTTTCATAACTCTGGCGGTGTTGCATTTTTTTCTTTTAATCTCCCGGGTAGATGGGTGTGGGGTGAGTGTGTTGGGGAGAGGGCAGGCCACCTTGGCCACCTTCCATCCCCCACGCCCGCGAGGAAGAGGAAAACCTGCCCTGCGGTCCTCCTGGGAACACTGCAGAGTAGGGTGTCGAGATGACATCAGCTTCTAAACATAGCCAGCACCGCACCGCACCCCAACTCCAAGGGCTGCGGGAGTGGGGAGGGAGTGGGGGAGGCGGGTGCTGCTGTCCCCGGGCGGGGCGGGGCGGGCAGGCCGGCCAGGCTGTGCGGGAGGAGATGACTTTGCAGGAATTGTGCTCCCAGAGTTTGCAGGCAGATCTCTCCCGCGATGGCCCGGCCAAGGGGTTAGGAAAGATTCCTGCCATTCCGCGCTCTCCCCTACCCCACAAGAACCACACGCACGCACACACGCACTCTTGGATCGAATGTGCCTTTATTTATAAATCAACTCAGCCCCAGCCGTAGTGCCCAGGTTCGGTCCGGTCCCGGGAGCACCCGCGCCCCGCGTCTGCCTCCAGGATAAGCCTGCGAGGGGGTCGGTGCTGCCCTCCCAGTGAGTCAGATGGGCTGTGTTTCCTGTGGTTGTTGTGGAACAGTTTGTCCTTTTTACTCCCCGCCCCCCCGCCCCGTCTCCACCCCCTTGGTAAATATAGCGCTCACGTTTCATCATCTCTTTGTCCAACGAGTGCCAGACACCCCGGCCCGCGGCCCCCGCCGCCTCCCTCCTCCTCTCCGCGCGGTTACCTCGCATAACCCCGCGCGGGCAGGCACCGGGCAGCAGCTCTCCCCGTGGCCGCGGCCGCGCCCAACCCGCCCCCAGCGCTTCGCGCCGCAGAACACCCCCACCCCATTCTTCTCCCCTCCCCTGCTTGCAGTTCCCCCTTCTGTAGGGCCCCCATGCTCCTGTCCCACCCCCTCTACTTGGCGTCCGGGTGCTGGGTCGAGACGTGTGTGGGTGTTGGGAGGTGGATATCTCTTTTCCGAGCCGTAGGCGTCACCCCTACGCCCAGGCCCAGGCCCAGTGCTGGATCCTGCACTTTCCCAACCTCCCCCTCCCAAGTTACAAGGTTGCCCTCTGTTCCCCTCCCGAGCGCAGGTGACGAGCTGCTGAGACAGTGTCTGATTCACCGACAGCTGAACCAGCTACTGGTACTTGGGGGTGAGCGTTTGCTGAACCGTTTCCCTCCCACCTCCCCCAACCCCCTACCCCGGTGGGGAGTGGGCTGGAGGGTCGGGAGAGGCAAGGTGGATGACAGCCGAGAAGTGCGTGCCTGCGCTTCCCTCTCTCCCTCCTCCTCCCAGTTTCATTTCCACACATACAGCCACCCACCGGGGACCGGAGGCGGCTAGTGTTCTCTGAACGCCGGGAACTGGCTCTCTCTGTGGTCTCCTGTTTACTTCCCTCCTCCTCTTTTCCCCTCCCTTCTCCCCGCCCCCATCTCCCAGCGCTGCTTCCCGCCCAGAGCAGCTGGGAAACCTGCAGCTGAACACTGCAGTCATGGGACTTCCCTGGCCCCGAGCTTTGCCCCAGGTTTGCCCTGTCCTGTCCTGCCTTGCCCTGTGTCCGCTTGTTTGGGGGCACTTCTTCGTCCTGAAAAGGGTCCTGGGGCTCCCTATCCAGGAACGTGGAAGAGGTGACTGCTTCCCTCCTCCTTCCTCTCCTCCTGGCTCCCCTGCCAGCTACCTTCCTGTGGGGGCCCTGCCTGGCTGTCTTTTTTGGCCAGGATTCTGGGCCACCCCCGCGAGTGGCCACCTGTCCAGGGAGAAGTGGTGAGACAGCTAACGGTGTGTAAGAACTCTGCATCCAGGATGCTGCAGAGCTGGCTTCTTTGCCATCAGAGACTGTCCTGTTCGTAACAGGGTGCCCAAAGTTCCCTGCCGACCAAGGTTTTCAGGCATAACCCCAAAACCTGCTCCTAGGGACACACCCTCTCCTTATGGAGTCTGGCAAAACCTTTCCTTTCAAAGCTTGCTTCCCAGCGGGGAAGAATGCAGCCTCTCTCCCTAAGTAAGCTGAATGAACAAAGAACTCCAAGGAGGCCGTGGGGGTTCCAGCTCTGGGTGCTGCCTGCCTGAAGTTCACCCCATTTAAAAACCACCTCTTCACCACCACCCTCTGCTCCACTGCCATGGTTACCAGCTCCCTGTCCTTCCCAGAACAGTGTTGCACAGAGACAGAAACAAACAAGGACATTTACAATGTTCTTTTAAATATCCAAAACACTGCCTTGGTATTTTGGTAGCAGAGAAGAGAGAATAAAAGTCCTGACTGTTTGCTGGTTTCCTTCTGACCCCACGACCCTGGAAAAATCCTTACCCTGGATGGCCTCTCAGCTGCCAAAAGAGGGAAGGAAGCTTGATGAGATACTAGAGAGTGGAATTCAGAACAAACCTTTGGCAGGAGAATTATTCCCCAAGTTAGACTCTTTCTTTCTTCCCCCTCCACCCCAGCTGCTTTGAAGTACCTGCCATCAGACTATACCACCTCCGCTTTGTGGCTGTCATCTGCAGGCTCTCCTGCACTCCTCCTCATTCTCTGAAGATTCTAGCACCTGACTCACAGTCCCCAACCTCCACCCAACTCCTATTAACATTTTTGGTTAATTTAGCATCCCAGTAGATTAATGGCCTATCTGAAACCCTAGTACCTGAACTGCAATCCTTTTTTTCCTCCACCCCACTGTCATGTGGGTATCCTCAATCTTTTCATCACCAAATAACAGCACCACCTCTGACCATCATCCTCTTTCCTGACCAACACCTCTTTCTCTCCCAGCTTATTTGCTCAAATAACCACATTTGAACAATTCTTTGACCTTATTTTGACTTCCAGTCTACTTTTTCACTGTCTGTCATTGGCATTTCATTCTTACATCTCTCCTACCCAGCTTAAGATTTCATGGTCTGTCATTGTATCATTCCTTTGCATGCACCTCCCCCTACTTTCTCATTCCTGGGACCATCTGGCCAAACTCTTGATTCCGTCCAGCTTAACACACTGGACAAAAATGACAGGGCTAACTGTTGTCACTCTAAATTTATGATCATCCATCTCGAGTGGGCTCTCAACACTGTCCGTGTGCATTTCCCTCGTCAGTTTACTTTCCCGCACCCTGAAATGACTATATTGCACCTTCTCTCTTCAAACTTCCAACACTCCTCCCTTCCTCACTCTGAGCTGAGAAACTTGCTGCTTATTTTACTGAGAAAATAAAAGCAATTTGACAAGAACTACCTCCTCTTCCTACCATCATAGCTTCCATCCTACCTACCTCTCCACCCAGAGGCTGCCTTCCCACTTGTCACCTGATACACTGTTCCTGCTCCTGTCTAAGGCAAATCCTCCCATGTGGCACCAGGTTCCCTTCCCCTCTGGGCTATTTAATGACTGTTTCTAAAATGACCCCATCTCTTGCTTATCTAGTTGTTGCTCTATTCTAAATCATTCACTTCAGCACAAAAAAGTGTCCTCCCTCCTGTCTTTCTATGTATACTTGTGTGTGTGTGACGCCTTGACCCCATATCCTCCTGCACTGTTACTCCATTTGCCATCTTCCTTGTATGCAGACATCTCAAAGTTACCTCTATGTACTGTCTGTATGTGCACACCCCTGTTCTCTTTTTATTTTTATCTTTATTTTTGAGATGGAGTCTCACTCTGTCGCTCACGCTGGAGTGCAATGGTGTGATCTCAGCTCACTGCAACCTCCGCCTTCCGGGTTCAAGTGATTCTCCCACCTCAGCCTCCCGAGTAGCTGGGACTACAGGCATGCACCACTAAGCCTGGTTAATTTTTATGTTTTTAGTAGAGACGCGGTTTCGTCATATTGGCCAGGCTGGTCTCTAACTCCTGACTTCAGGTAATCCACCCGCCTCAGCTTCCCAAAGTGCTGGGATTACAGGCGTGAGCCACCATGTCCGACCTTCCTGTTCTCCCTTGATCCCGTGCCAGACATTCATTTCTGTCACTGGACTGAAACTGCTCAGGATCATGGATGACCTCCATGATGCCAAATCTATTGGGCAGTTATTTCACTTCACATCACAGCAAAGAAGACTAAGGATTGGACAGTGAACTAGAGGAAAAGAGAGACTATGGTATCCTAGAAGCCAAGAGAAGAAAAGGAAGAGAGGTGGATTCCTTCTTTTTCTTCTTTGCTACTTTCAGTTCTTCTCCTGGCTCTTTTTTTTTTTTTTTGGACAGAGTTTCACTCTTGTCACCCAGGCTGGAGTGCAGTGGTACAATCTCAGCAGTTCACTGCAACCTCCACCTCCCAGGTTCAAGCGATTCTCCTGCCTCAGCCTCCTGAGTAGCTGGGATTACATGCATGTGCCACCATGCCCGGCTAAGTTTTCTATTTTTGGTAGAGACGGGGTTTCACCACGTTGGTCAGGCCGGTCTCGAATTCCTGACTTCAGGTGATCCGCCTGTCTTAGCCTCCCAAAGTGCTGGGATTACAGGCATGAGCCACCGCTCCCTGCCTCTCCATGCTGTCTTAAACTCGAGTTGACCTGGAGCCTTGTCCTTGTCTCTCTTCCACATCCATACTCACTCCCCTCGTGGTTTCATGCAGCCTCAAGGCTTTAATACCTTCAAGGCTGGTGCCGTGGCTCACGCCCATAATCCCAACACCTTGGAAGGCCAAGGTGGGAGGATTGCTTTAGCCCTGGAATTTGAGGCTGCCATAATCTGTGACTGCACCACTGCATTCCAGCTTGGGTGACAGGCTTTAATACCTTTTACATGCCAGGGATTACCCAATTTTTATCTTCAATTCACACCTCTTTCTTTCTTTTTTTTTTCCTTTTTCTTTTTTTTTTTTTTTTGGAGGCTTGCTCTCTCATCCAGGCTGGAGTGCAGTGGCGTGATCTCAGGTCACTGCAACCTCTGCCTCCTGAGTTCAAGAGATTCATGTGTCTTAGCCTCCCAAGTAGCTGGGATAACAGGCACTCAGCACCATTCCCGGCTAATTTTTGTATTTTTACTAGAGACAAGGTTTTGCCATGTTGGCCAGGCTTGTCTCAAACTCCTGACCTCAAGTGATCCACCTGCCTTGGCCTCCCAAAGTGCTGGGGTTACAGGCATGAGCCACCGTGCCCGGCCCATACCTGTCTCTTGAGCTTCACACATGACCATCCAACTATCTAGTCATCATTTCTACTTGAATATATGATGGGCATCTCCAACTCAACATATTAAAATTGAACTGCCGATAATTCCCTCCCAATGCATGACTCTATTGGCAGCGTTTCCCATGTTAGATAGAGACACTCCTGTGCTTCTGGTTGCTCAGGACAAAAACCAATGAGTTATCCTTCATCCCTCTTTTAAATGGATACCCGTAACCCATAGCTAATCATCCATCAAGAACTCCTATTAGTCCTGTGTTCCAAATATCTCCATAAACTGGCCCTTCTCACCTTCTGTCCCTTCCTCTCTTGCCTTGATAACTGCAGGAACCTTCTAGCTGCTCTGCCTGCCTCCACCCTTGACCTTGCTTCTCTTCTCAACACAACTGCTAAGAGCTAAGTGCTCTTCTTAAAATACGTGTCAGGTCACAGCACTCTTCTGCTCAAAATACAGCTGTGACTCTAGTCTCACTCAGAGAAATTGCTGCTGTCCTCACAGTGGAGTAAGCCTCCTTGTGAGCCCGAAAGGAGACGTCCTGATCTCCCCTACTGTACTCCATTCCTCACTCCGCTCCAGCCCCACTACCCGCCTTGCTCATCTGAGAACTAACCAGCTGGACTCCTGTCTCATAAGCATTCACAGTGGCTCTTCCTTCTACCCGGAATG